TCGTGAGCAATCGTCTCTCGCGGCTCGAGTCGGCAATCCAGCGCATCGAAGGCAAGGTGAACGCGGTGTTTGAGGCGACGAAATCTCCATCGCCACCATCTCCTCCGCCACCAAAGAAGCGCTTCTTCGGGGGAATTGTCACTCACCACCAGGCGTGGTGGCTGCTAATCTTGCCGCTTAACATCGCTTGCATGGGCATTGTGCTTGGAGGGGATCGGACGCGCGCGGATCGAGCGGAGCTGGCCACTACCCTGGCCCTGGCCAACCTCGTGGCCACCGTGGCCATCCGGGACGGTACGGTCCTCCTCTGTCTCTACAAGGCGGTGGTTCGAATCCCCTGGCAGAAGTATTTCTTCAACCGGATGCTCCACTGCAATGGTGGCATCCACACCGGCTGCGCGCTCATGCTGCTCGTGTGGGCGATCATCGCCCTCGTCGAGACGGGCAGCGGCGATCCGGTCGATTGCGCTCTCCTGGCGATTCTCTGCGCCGGCCTCCTCGCGATGATGCTCCTGGCGGTCCAGCCGCTGCGCGAGCGGCACCACAATCTCTTCGAGACGGTTCACAGGTACCTAGGGTGGACGCTCCTCGTGCTGCTCGCTGCGATCCTCGTCAAGGAATTCACGGACATGAGGTGGAGGCTGTCCGCGGCGGCGATCGGCAGCGCGGTTCTCATGGGGATCGCGCTGATCTTGGTGTTCTACTCGTGGTTCTTGATCGAGCGCCAGGACGTGGAGGTGAGATCCGGGCGAGAGGGAAACATCGTGGTGGTGAAGATCAAGGGAAAGGCTCGAGCTGGCGCGTTTGCGAAGATCTCCTTCAATCTCGTCGAGTGGCACGCCTTCTCGGTGGCAGTCAGCAACAGGGAGAGTGGATCCTACGGCCTCATTGTCGGCGTCGCGGGCGATTGGACCAAGATGCTCGCGCAGAAGTGCACGCCACTGGAGAGGATCATGAGCAGGGCGTCTAGCTTGAGGAAATCGCTCAGCAGGGCATCGAGCTTGAGAATGATAAACAGGGCTTCCAGCATGAGGAAGATCAACGACGAGCACAGTACCATCTCGGGAGAGGATCTGATCTCGCCGCCGCCGCCGCCGCCGCCCACCGATCAAGGGATCCAAAACCAGACGGTGAGGGCGTTCATCCGGTGGCACCGCCCACTGGGGTTCATGTACTCTGTCTACGCCTACAAGAGAGTCATCTGCGTGGGCACAGGCGCTGGAATCGCCCCAATCCTCCCACACATTGGCAGCGATCGCGTCGCCATGCACGTCGTCTGGATCGCCAAGAAGCACCGGGAGATTTATGGGGACGAGATTTGCGACCGCGTGTTCCAGCATCCCCACACGATCTATGACACCTCCAAGCAGGGGCGCCCCAGGCCGGAGATCGCATTGCTGGATTACGAGGAGTTTCGTCCAGAGGCGATCTTCATTGTCTCAAATGCGCCCTTTACAGAGGCCGTCCGCGATGTGTGCAAGAACAAGCAAATTCCCGCCTTTGGTGCTGTCTTCGATTCGTAACGTGTAATATTCTCCTATAACGAGATGACAAACAACAATCATACATCTGAATTATGTATATATATGTTTTGTTTTAGATCTTGCACCAAAAAGCATAAGGTCTGTTGGAAACAACTACTTGGACCTGCATCTTTAGTTAAGAAAGGAAAAGGGGAAAGTATTCCCTGCCAACCTTTTCTCTGGCGTGGTACACGGAGCACAAGAACGTCTCCCACTTCCATTTCAGACCTCTGCAAGTGCACCTAATGAGCACACAAAATGATGAACACGCCACGAGAACGGCCACAAACGTTTGAGCATCCGGCAAAGACCCTCCTCGCGACTCTTGCATTCGTGAAAAGTCTTCGCATCCAGCAAAGTGGTAGGAAATTGCAGTTCCCATCTTCATTGTCACGGTTGTAAACCCTGCCTTCGCCTGTGACACATTTACATTTGAGAGACAAGTGTGCCCGAGTTCTCATGAGAGGAGGGATGTAGCTCCCACTTCTTCTGTGTCGTTTGCGAACTTGAAGCTGCGTCGTCCACTAGTTCGGATTCAGTCTGCTATATCTTCCTGATGTGCTTTGGAGCCAACAGCGACGTCCAGGGCAGTCATCTGATATGGCAGCAACGTCGTTTTGACTTGCGTCTTTGGTGCTACTGCCGTGGCCGTCATGGATATCGTGCCGCTGCTTGTTGTCCTTTGCTTCTTCCGCGTTCCTTGAGCTCGGACTGGTCCAACGTCTTCAATCAGGGACTGTGGGGAGTCATCCCTTGGAGTTTCAGCAAGACTGTAGATGTTTTCCTTGAGGACGTCTTGGAAGAGCTTCTGTCCATGTTGCGAGCACCAAAGCCCTGAAAAGCTTTGGCGCGGGCACTTATAAACCCGCTGCAATAGGAAGTATCACGTAGGTCCAGTCCAAGCCGAGTAATGAGAAAATACTAACAAACCAATAATATATAAGAGAAGAGAAAACGAGGACGGAGATCTGTGACGAGGACAAAACCTTGCTAAAGAGCACTCAACAATAATATAAAAGTTAAAGAGTGGCAAAAACCTCCAATAATCATAGTGTCTCTTAGATTTGCAAATTAGAGATTTGGCTCATTTCTTGCATTATAAATTGCAGCAAGCCATCAAAGTGTATCAAATAATAGTTTGCTACGCAAGTATGGAATCAAATGTTTCCTTGAACGACATAACTCTTGCTTCATCAACGCCTTCTATCGTTTTCGAGATAGGGGAGCGGGACTGGACCAAAACCTGCCATTTTCAGTTCCGAAGTTTCATACCTTTTTAGGGAAGCCACTCTTCTGAGAATTCCCCATCGCGAGCTAGACGGTAAGTTGTGTGAATGGCATAGCCTCACTCGCAGTGTACAAGTCACTCCAAGGCGCTTTGAGAGGGAGGTCTACCTGTTAGGCATCCTAGGCCAGTTATGGTGAGGGAGTGTTACGAGCTTACTTACTTTGCAGACATGCTCCCCTCCAGTTCTCCTGATTTGTACGAAATAACGGTTTTAACCTCCGTACGAGAACCCACTTTGATTCCATGAGCGAGGTGTCTTGGCATACCGCGGCTGTGGTGGAGCAGCCATGGATTGTCTAGAGAGAATGCCCGAGTGGAGCGTGGAATTCGGCCATGCGTGCTTACATCCAGGCCGGAGAGCTCACAGGTGCCGTGAAGATCTTCAAGGGAGTGCCGACTCCATTCCTGCAACGCAATCCTGGCAGAGAATGCCCAGTCCGAGCAGCCCACCAAGGCGAAGACAGGGTCTGATCGAAACAAACGTGCCAAGAGCGCGTTTCTGTCGGGGACTTCTCTTCTCCAGGCTAATGTAAGTTAAACATTAAACAAAGCACTGCTAAGGCGTAGTGGTGGTATTTGTTTCTGAAAGCCAAACTCTTGATTTAAACAGCCTCCCAGTCGTGGGTGGACCTCCACGACTGGTATATTCCGGATCTTCTAGAACCAACGACTCAACTTTCTCAACCAGGAAAAGCAAGCATATAAGATCCAGCGTGAAAGACATGATTTCGTTTTCCATGTACTCTTCGAGGCTGGCCATTCTACCTCGCAAAAACACGCATCGGGGCCATTCCATGATCTTCGGTGTTTCTAAACCAAGCACATTAATTTTAGCAGGCCATAGAATATTTTTGTCGCTCACAGTGCAAAAGTTTCCCAAATTGTTGAGAGTATGGTGCGTGTCCATAAAGTCGTCAATGACTGTCGTAAGAACACTCGTCTGTGCCCAGTCAATGTGAGCCATCGAGAGTTCCGGCTGGAACATGGTTGCAGCAGCAGTACAAAAGCAAAACACGTCTTTCTGTCGGGCAAAACCCAGACGTTCAAAGTTGCGCTCTTTGTTCCACCTGCGTTTCACGCGCTGGATAAGCGAGAGGCAAAATATCAGCTACCTCATAACGCGCTGCAAATCCTTCTGATATATCTTCTGGCAAGCATTGTGTGAAGGCCAGTACGTTCACTGGAAAAATTTAAATAGGAAGTTTCAGTGGAAGTTATAGCATATGTACCTCATGGATTCCATAAGCATGAGATATCCATACTTATCGTAAATCTAGTCATGCACTCAATGTGCTGGATCCGATGCATTATACTATACCATGGAAACGTCGTCTATAAATAAAATGTTAGCAAAACCACATCGGAATAGGAAAGGCAAACCTCTTTGTTTGCGAGAACAAGGAGTCGAGTCCAGCATTTTCTGCTTTCAGTAGAAAAGAGAAAATGTGATGTGAAAGATAGCTCCTGATGCAGTACGTCTACCACATGAAAATTCTTGTCTTCCTGTTGATGCTATGGTATAAAAAGCTTCACTCTAGGCGACCTGGAGAGACTTCGTAACCATCATGATGAAGAATCCAGAACAAAAAGAGCAGTCAAAGATTTCTAGATGTTTCTGACTGCATGTTCTCTCCATTGTCTGAACTATCCGAGTGACAAAGAAGTTTTTCGAATCCCAGATGCTAAAGACAGTCTACAGCAGCAGCTGACTTAAGCGGTGTTTGGCTTTGTCAATAGGCCCTCAAGAACACGAAGGCACTTTCTGTCTCCGCTGTGCATGTAACCGCATGCTGTCAGCGTGACAGGGAATAAAGATCCCCTGCTACTTTCATATCTGAGAAGATATTGCCACTTTGGACAGTCATGAAACGCTTCAAGTACATGGACGAAAGAAGTCGGACACTGCTCCAACGCATCATTTGCTACGCTGGTTATCAGCAAAAGCTGTTTAAGAACCTCCAGAGCTTTGAAGTTACCTCAGAAGAAATTCTTGACTGAACAAAAGATTCATCATAATTTC